GTTGATGGAATGCAAAAGTCGAATAAAAATTATATATTATTATATATATATATTATATATATATATAATATATATATTAATGTATATTATATATATATATATATATATATATATATGAAGGTATAGATAAATTAATTGTTTTTCTTACGTTTGTGTTGATTTATTTTGTAATCATCAATTTTTCCTTAGATTTAGATCGCAAAAGTTGATGGAATGCAAAAGTCGAATAAAAATTATACGATCTCGTAGATCGCAATAATTTCGAGAAACGATAACGAAACAATGTTGAAAGAACGTGTGGTAATTTCTTGTATTCAAGTATGTATATATATATATATATATAATAATAATAATAATAATAATATATGTTTCTATGTGTATGTGTTGTGTATTGTTTTTTTTTTTACGAAAAGTATATTATACCGTGTATAAATGTATAATATATTTGATTTGTTTATAATAATAAGTCCTTTTAGGTTCGTGCATTTTATAAGGCTGTGAAAAAATTACAGATTATGAGAAAAAGCGCGTAAATTCATTTTCTTTCAATGTTTTTCTTATTTAACACTAGATATACCAGACCAGTCATTTTAATTCCAAATTTCTACTTAATGTAAAGTTTAATTTCTGTAAATAATTAAGCGTTTTGTCATTTCAAAATGTCTATATAAATTCATTTATCTATTAAAATTATTATTGTTAAACATTTTTGTTGTTGTTATTTTTTAAGAGTAAATAAAGACTGGAAGCCTCAAAAAGCATTTGTTTTATACACACCAGTCATTTTGACTAGTGTGGTAGAAATAGGTATACTGAAAATGGTCGTATATCTAGTGTTAATTCTGTTTCTTCTTTCTTTTTGTTTAAATCCTTGTGTTTCTCTCTTTTCTTACTCTCTCTCTCTCTCTTCCTCACTCTTTTTCTATCCCTTTTTCTCTCCTCCTTGTATTACGTTCGAAGAATAATATGGCACAATTGGGTACAAATCGCGTTAAAAGAGAAATTGGAGGAGGAAGAGGTGGAGGATGAAGAGGTGGTTTTTGTCCGTAGGCCACATAGAAAGAATTTTCACTTTTGAAAGATTTTTTCTAACAAAATTTTTTCACGTATCTCTCTCTCTCTCTCTCTCTCTCTCCTATTTTGCACACATCGATGAAAATTATCCGAGAGAGAGAGAAAGATAATAATTATTTTTGCTGTACACAGAGGGGTCTGTTTTTTTTCTGTTTTTTTTTTCTCTTCTTCTTACTTTTTCTTAAATACAAAGCGAAAATTAATCGAATGATGACAACGATGAAAATGATTTGAGACGATTATTAGAAAATTCTTTTTTTTCTGTTTCTTCATCTTTATCCTTTTTTTCATCAAAGAGGTTATGAAAATCGAGAGCGTGTGTTGATTGCGGTGGTACGGTTAAAAAGGTACATACGAGAGTTGTGTTTACCTTCTTTGAAAAGGCAAAACTGCACACAGTTAGTGTATTTTTTCTTTTTTTTTTCCTTTTTTATTATTATTATTATCATATTATTATTAATATTATTAATATTATTATTATTTATCATTATTAATTATTATTATTATTATTGTGGAAGTAGTTATTACTTATATTATTATTATTATTATTATTATTATTATTATTATTATTATTATTATTATTATTATTATTATTATTATTATTATTATGTTTTTTTCTTCTTTCTTCCATTTTGTTTATCTTTCTTTTTTTCTTTCCTTATTTCTTTATTACAATTTTTATTTTTTTTTTATTTAATTCTTTTAATGGCCATAACGGGACGACGACTTTAATTACCATGAATAATAATTAATTATAATGTTGCAGCGTCAGCGCTGTGTTGATATCGAAAAATCCGATGATCGGGCACGATTTTATGTGAATCCGTTCTCATAATATTGAAACAAAGTTGCTTATTGGGTAGGTGGTACGTTACCGTCACCTTTGTCGTCGTCGTCGTCGTCGTCGTCGTCGTCGTCGTCGTTGAGAAAAATTGATACGTACAAAACCTTTTTCATTCATATCGATAAAGAACACAATAGACCTAGTCATATTTTTAAACATAATAATAATAATGACGATGATAATGATGATGATAATGACGATGATGATAATGACGACGACGAATAATAATAATAACATAATAATATTCTCTTATTTTTTTTTTTTAAACGCAATCATTCGTAATTCATAGCAATAATAATAATTATTATTATTATTATCATTATGACAATAATTATAATTAATAATCGTATGATTAATATTTTATAATAATTAATAATAATTAATAATAATAATTAATAATAATAATAATAATAATAATAGTAATAATAATAATATAAAATAACAATGGTAATAAGTAGTGACGATGACAATAATAATAATAATAATAATAAAAATAATAATAATAGTAATAGTAATAATCATTAATAATAATATTTATACTATAAGTAATAATAATAATAATAATAATAATAATAATAATAATAATAATAATAATAATAATAATAATAATAA